GTGGTTGGTGTGCCTTGGTCTGAAGAAGTGGGCCCCTCCAACGCGCTATTTGATGCTAAAGCTGTAGCTAACCACCTGTTCACTGTGATAGATGACGTAGCCATGAGGGACGTATCTCGATTTGGGAAGGTCGAACTCACGAGAGCATTCGGCTCTGCCCAAATGGAGTGTTTGACTATGGCGGCTGCCCTACTAGGCTAGGGAGTGGGGGCAAAGATGAAGATAGAGTCGCTGAAGGCCCAACTGGAGAAAGCGCATTCTGAGATGGAAATAGCTAGAGTAGAGATCGCAAAGTGGTGAAAAGGGGCGTGAAGTGCCTGTGCTAAAGGCCTTGCATACGCTCGAAATGCACAAAAGATGGAGGTTTTGGTTGTGGTGCAGAGCTACATAGCTAGTTGAGCAATAATGGACAAAACTGAGGCCGTGGCTGAACTGGCGAGCATGAAGACTCAATTGAGTGAGGCCACATCTGAACTTGAAGTTGCTCGTTGAAGGGTGGTGTAGCTGGAGTTTGAAGTGGTGACTGAACAAAAGAAAACTAATGAGGCCCAGTAAGCCTACACCATTGCCAACGAATGGTTGGAAGAGGCCCTGAACAACAATGAAAAGCTACGTGATCTGTCTTTGTAGAAAAATGAGGAGGCAGACGCACGGGTTGCAAAGTTGGAGAGGGCTCTTGCTGTTAAGAAAAAAACGCTGGAGGAGGAGAGGGGCAGATCAACAGAGCTAGCCAAGACGTTGGTGTCGGAGAGGGCAGCCTATCCTGACCTTTGTGACACAGCAGTGGAGCATTTCAAGCAATCAACTGAATTCTAGATAGCAATAGAAGCGGTTGTAGCCACAAGCTTGGCCAGAGGGAAAGGGGGTGAGGTTGGGCCATCAAGCTTAGCTACTGTCGAATTGGTGGAGGAGCAGACTAAGTCAGAAATAATACAAAATTTCCAACAGTTCGACTATTTCAAGCATCTGCTCAGCAAGTATTGGGATAGCAGTTGGGTGAAATTCAAACAAATGGTAGAGGCTAGCTATACTAGTGCTTTTTGTAATTTGTTTTGGTTTTGTAGAAAAAATATATACAGGATGTAATTGGCAAAAATTGTAAAGAATTAGTACAAAAAGTCTGCCTTGTAAAAATTTGGATATACATAAGTTTGTTTTACTATGGCTTAAGGATACTTGAGAATTTTTTTGATTTAAATGATCCTTAAAGGAAAACTATAATTGCTGTCATAAGTGGTAATTTGTCAATTTTGAGCACTAATGGTTAGAGCAGCATTTGAGAAGAAAATTAAGGGACAACGTTGAACTTGTGTGGAGATAGGAGGTGAACTGGAAAAGTCGAGGGACTAGTCAAAACCGTTGGACTCATGTATAAAAAAAACTTGTAAAAAAATGGGTTGATCGGGTTAATGGGTACTTCTACTAACTCTTCCACTAGTTCCTCCTGGATTAGTTCCTCTTCGTCTCTAGCATCAAGGTCCTCAATGATCATAGCTTCCTTCACATTCACCTCCTTTAATGAGGCAACGTAACATTCTTTGGCTACAGTCTGCTTTCCTCTCACAGTGCCGATACCATGGTCAGTTGGGAATTTCAATGCCAAATTATACGTGGACGTCACCGCTTGGAAGGCATTGAGGGTTGAGCGCCCAATTATAATATTATACGTAGAGGGATAGCCAACGACCAGGAAGGTAAGGATCTTCGTGGTTTTCCTTGGGTACTCTCCAATAGTGATTGGAAGATCAATGGATCCTAAAAAGGTCACCCGGTCACCTGTGAAACCAACTAAGGAGGTTTGCAAGGGCAATAACTTTTCTTCCCCAAGGTTAAGCTTCTTGAAGTCTTTGAGGAAGATAATATCTTATGAGCTGCCATTGTTGATGGGTATGCCTGACTTTGTAGTTTGAAGGGAGCGAAAAAATGACTAGATGGTCGTCATGAGGGTATCGGACTCCTGTGCAGTCTTCATTCGTGAAGGTGATTGGCTCTAACCACTGTTTGGGCTACTTTTGTGGTTGGTACACCGTCGTCACTTCTTTGTCTGACTCTTGTTTGATCCTTCGGAGCTTGGCTTGTTGTGCTGACCGAGATGGTTCGCCACATGCAAGTCCTCTCGCAATTACCCTAATTTCTCCTAGTGGGGGGTGCGAGTCCTCCTTGAGCTTGGGGCTATTGTTGGGCTCTATCGTCATTCCGTCTAAGCTGGTCGGCTTGCCTTGGGAGAGTATATCTGTTGTTTCGTCTTCAGGGATCGGTTCTGGCCCTTTGATGCGTTCTAGTTGTGGTGAACAGGTCTAAACGTTCTTGATGGATCAGCTCCTCAACCTGATCTTTAAGATTGATGCATTCCTTGGTGTTGTGGCTATGGTCACGGGGGAAGTGACAGTATTTGGATTGGTCTCGTCAGATGGAGGGAGATTTTAAAGGTTGGGACCGTTTTAGGTTGTAGTCATGTTGGATTTGGTTTAAGACTTGCTCTATAGGTGAGTTGAGAGGGGTATATCGCTTGAAGCGGCCGAATGGACAAGAAGGGACCTATCGGTCGGAGCGTAGAGGTCGGTTGAAATATTAAGGGGGGTCGGTAAGTGTATTGGGAATGTCTAAGATTGGGTTCTTTTCTCTTTTCTTTGGATTGTAGAGGCTTAGATGTAGAATCTTGGCGAGCTACCAAAGAATCTTCGGTGTTCATGTACTTCTGAGCTTTGGCAAGGAAGGTAGCCATGGTGGTCGGGGGATATTTTGAGAGGGAGAAAAGGAAATTAGACGGGCATAATCTAGCCATAAAAGCTGTTAAAATGACATTGTCATCATTCTCTTCAACTTGCAAAGCTTTTGTGTTGAAACGAGTGACAAAGCTGCGTAATTCTGTTTGTCGAATGTTCAGCAGTTGGGTCGTTGGGCGTCGTTGACGCTGTGCGCCAATGAAATGGCTCAAAAAGGACTCACTTAGCTGATCAAAAGAAGTTACAGAGTCGGGCTTAAGCTGGCTAAACCAGAGTCGTGCCAATCCCTTAAGCATGACTGGGAAAGCACAACACGAGATCTCATTGCGGAAAGCGTGGAGGATCATGAGCATTTTATAAGCCTCCAAATGATTAATAGGGTCGGTGGTACTGTCGAATGTGTCAATTGAAGGCATCTTGAATTTGGGGGGTAAAGGTGTATCTCTGATGGAGGTAGCAAAAGGAAATTGATGGTGGAGGAAGGTTTGTTTTGCATATTCTGCATAACCCCTTAAAGCTGAAGTTTCATGGCTCGTAGTTCTTCATTCCAAACAAGAATGTTATCTCCTCTTGCGAGAGATGGGAGTTGAACACTACTGGCTTCTCCTTCATGTACGGCAGCGCAGTGTTGTGGATGGTGATTGTGGAAAAGTGAAGGCTCCTCCTGGTTAAGTTGCAAGCCCCAAGGAAGGGCATACAGACCTTCAAGATTTGATGGTTGAGCTTCCGGGACAAATGGTAGGAGAAGTGGCCCTTGGGACACATGTGGTTGGAAGGGGTGATTGTAGACGTCCCCAGAACGCCCCGGGAGGGTGAGCTCCCGTTCTGTTCATATTGGGGTCACTACAGCTCAGGACTCTCAAATTCATCACGGTTCTAAGTCTGAACCAAAGAGTCCAAATCCGGCAAATTGTTTTGAGAAAAAATAGATTTTTTGAAAGAAGTGCCAAATATGGACTGCTTTGCCAGATACAGAGTCGCCACCTAAATGTTTTTTAATGGGAAATTTAGGAAACCCTGACTCGGTGCCAAAGGCCACGTGTCCGTCATCACCAAAGTTGCCTCGGCTCGGAACTTGGGTACGATTGGGGAAGGTCACTTCGTGAGCACCCCCGCTCGCCCGATCAAAGATCAGCCTCTACTAACCTGACGGTGGACTTGTTCTTAGTTTGGAGGGATGTCTAGTAGGGGTGGAGGAGGGGGAACAGGTAGATCGCGTTGGAGTAAGGCGTTAACAAGGGTTTGGTTCTGTTCAGCCAGGCGGTTGATGCTGTTAGTGAGTTCTATGAAATATGGAGATGGGTTGTTTGAATTGGAGGGTTCAGCTTGAGAGTTTCTGATATTATGTTGTGAAGCCACGGATCGCGTCGTAACCATTCAATCCGACGTAGAAGGTGGGTGAGGATGGAACCGTTTCCGGTAACAATGAACACAACTGCTAACCGGAATAAATTCCCACAGACGGTGCCAACTGATAATGTAGTCTGGTCGGTAGGGTATGCGTCGGACTGATCCAAGCACTCCACGGGTTGCCTGTCCTTTTTCTTCCTGATCATACCTGCAACAAGTCCAGTAAGAAGATTTCGAAATGGGGATAGTTCTTTTCTACGGACCCTTCGACGATCAAATTAGATGAAGAAGATCGCGAGGGTAGGAACTTAGAGAAACTTAAGCATAAAGTAATGGAGAGAGAGAGAGACGATCAAATTAGATGAAGAAGATCGCGAGGGTAGAAACTTAGAGAAACTTAAGCATAAAGTAATGGAGAGAGAGAGGAGGGAGAAAGAGAGGAGGGAGAGAGAGTTACCTTTTTCCAAGCGTTCCTCAGAAGTTTCTTTATATTTTTTGATAATCATTTCTTTATCCATTCAGACTGTCCCATTAGCCGAAAGTTTGCCACATACACATACTTGCCGTCAACTATGACCATTTCACCATACTTTAGAGTTAGAGGTCTTATTACATTTAATGTCTTGACAGTCTCATTTAATGTTTGGTGCGTGACTTCAATAACTTTGTAGAATTTTTATTTGTCATGTGAGTAAACTCCTACTTGACACGTGTTCAGCTGATGTCTAAGCTTGACTATTGTAGATTCTCTATCAAGCTTGGTGTTGGGGTCTGTTCTGCTGAACTGTGTGATAATAACTAATTAAATAATTATTTAAAAAATCTGTAACAACCATGAAGTGGACGCACCATGCCGATCAAAACATATCTATTATCGACCCACCGTCGAAATTAATGACCGTTGGGGAAGTTGGCAGCATCCAAAACTTTAAATGCTTTGGTACCCAACTCAATTTCACCTGTAATCCATCAATCTCTCTCTTTCTCTAGAATTCCCAATTTAACACTCATCAATTTCATATGTGAACTCTTTTTATGATTTCTGTTCAGCAGATTTTCATTTCACTCTCTCTCTCACCTGCATGCATTTCTCATTCTTCTCTCTCACCAGCTTTCATGTGATACTTTCCAACCATCAATGCCGGCTCTAAAAATCAACATCTTTGGCGGGTTTTATTGAGTTTTGTCTCATACGAACTTGACAAGTAAAGGTTGGTACATTGAATTTTCTATGTATGTTTCTTCGAACTTCTTGTTGGGTAGATGAACAAACTCAGGCGGAGATTACAAAGTTCAAACACTACTTTTTGAAATTTTTTATTGTATTCTTTGTGTTCAATGTACCCAAAGGCTATCTATTCATCCTTTCCTGAATTTGAGTTCACAACAAGAAAACTGAAAATCTGAGATTGGTGGGTCAGCAAATCTGAGTGAAAAATCAAAAAACAGATTTGGTGTGGGTGAAATTCTACCAATAAAGATTTTTAGTCTTTTGTCATTAGAAGATCTGGGAAGTGAAAATTTGTGGTTTAGGGTAAGAAATTAACAAGTGTGAGATTGAGGGAACAAAACTCACATCAAAATTAGAGATGGGTTGTCATTAAAATCTTATATAGTGAAGAAGATTCCAAGATTTGTGAGGTAGGGAGGTGCGAAACCCATATAAAAAAACAGAGGTGGCTTGTTTTCAATCAGGCCAGCATTGTGAATTTGTGAGTTTGAGAGTTGCAAAATCTATACAAAATCCAAGGTGGGTTGATTTCAGAAAGTATAGCAGTTGAGTGAATTCTTACATCTAGTAGAAATCACAGCTTTAAAATTACAAAAATAGATTTGGGTTTTATTTGTTGGTGGCGAATTGTTTTGATCAACTGGTGCTGATTTTATTGAGAAGAAGATGGTTGCGGGAAGTATTGAGGCGGAACCCCATAGTGCACTTGTAAATGGGGTTCAAAACCATAATGGTTTGGAGGAGAAGCTTGATGAACTTCGAAGAGTTCTTGGCAAAGCGGATGGTGATTTGTTAAGGATTGTCGGTGTTGGGGCTGGTGCTTGGGGCAGTGTTTTTGCAGCTTTGCTTCAAGATAGCTATGGTCAATTTCGAGATAAAGTTCAAATCAGAATATGGAGGAGGCCCGGGAGAGCTGTAGATAAAGCCACAGCTGAACACCTCTTTGAAGTGATCAATTCAAGGGAAGATGTACTCAGAAGGTTGATTAGGCGTTGTGCATATTTGAAGTATGTTGAAGCAAGATTGGGTGACCGGACACTCTATGCAGACGAGACATTGAAAGATGGGTTTTGTTTGAACATGGTTGATACGCCACTTTGTCCTATGAAGGTTGTGACTAACTTGCAGGAGGCAGTTTGGGATGCTGATATTGTTGTGAATGGCTTGCCTTCTACTGAAACACGTGAGGTGTTTGAGGAGATCAGTAAGTATTGGAAAGAGAGAATCACCGTTCCCATTATTATCTCATTGGCAAAGGGTATAGAGGCTGCATTGGAACCTGTTCCTCATATAATTACGCCCACACAAATGATTAAGCGAGCAAGTAAGGTTCTAATTATCGTACCTCTTGTTTCAATTTTTTTAGCTTTATGTAGTCTCTTACAAATCAAAATAGATAAATTGCATGGTGTCTCTTACAAATTGAAATAGATAATAGGGTTATTGTGCTGCTTTATTTTATTATTATTATTATTTTTTTTTTTAATTTCTTTTGAAGTGGAAATCTACTCGCTTTCATTTCTAAACCTTAATGTGAATGAATGGCAGCTGGAGTTCCTATAGAGAACATACTTTATCTCGGTGGACCAAATATTGCCTCAGAGATTTACAACAAAGAATATGCGAATGCCCGAATTTGTGGCGCTGAGAAGTGGAGGAAACCGCTTGCACAATTTTTGAGGCAACCCCATTTCATTGTATGGGACAATAGTGACCTTGTCACTCACGAAGTTATGGGAGGATTGAAGAATGTATATGCCATTGGTGCTGGTAGGTGTAAATAGTTCATTAATCTTCAGTGATTTATATTTCAGGATCTGAGATATGTTCGATTTTTTAGTGTGACTGTGTGACAGAAAAATATTGCCAAGAATCCAAAAGGGAATATGTTGATCAATCTAAATTGATTGAGAATTCTAACCAGTTTGTGACAAAAATTCCCAATATTTGCAATTGATTTTGTTTTCCCAGGAATGGTAGCAGCTCTAACCAATGAAAGTGCCACGAGCAAATCAGTATATTTTGCACATTGTACATCCGAGATGATATTTATCACCCATTTGTTGGCTGAAGAACCTGAGAAGCTTGCTGGGCCTTTGCTGGCTGACACTTATGTAACCCTGTTGAAAGGTCGTAATGCGTGGTATGGTCAAATGATTGCTAAAGGGGAACTAAGCCTCGATATGGGTGATAACATTAGCGGCAAAGGGATGATCCAGGTACAAATCCTGATTATACTACTCGCCTATTTATTTGGCACCGGCTAATAAGCCAGCTTATTGGCTATAAAATCTCATCATGCTAAAAAAAGTTTTACTTCATTTTACACACCCATTACCTTTTCAAAAGTCAACTTCAGCCTCTCTAAAAAGGCAATAGAAAAGCCAAGAAAGCTATGAACATGCCAAACAAACAAACTTTCTTTTCGCATTAGCTTTTTTGTTGGCTTATTTTTAGCCAATAAAATAGCTTTTCAGCAAACTCACAAAGATTATTTGTATGCTCCATGTCTGAATAGTGTAGTATGCTCAAAGAAATAAAACTCTCTAGCATCTAGTTTTGTCTTTTTAAAACTTTTTTCAGCTTTGAGTTAGAATTTTTTACTTTTTAGGTCTATCTCGACCAGACAATTCTAAAAAAAAAAAAAAAAAAAAAAAAAAAAAAAACCTCAAAAAAAAAAAAAAAAAAATCACTAGACAAAAATAAGTCAAATTCTATCCCAAAAAAATAAAATAAAAAACCTTACAAAAATTGGCTTCTTTTTTTTCTTTTTTTTTTTGTCTTTACTAAACTTTTTGCAAAATTGACTCAAATTGTTTTAAAATTTTTAAGATTTTATAGTCGAGATGGATCTAAAGTAAAGAAATTTGACATAATTAAATTTAAAAAAAAAAAACCAACTAAAGACAAAAATAAGTCGAACTAAAAAAACCAACTAATAAAACTTCTGCTTTTGATCATTGGAACTGGTTGTTGGGGTATTAAGAAGAAATGGGCTGTGATTGTCTTCTGCTATGGTCCCATTCAAATTGTATAATGACTATAGTGGCTATTGGAAGTCATCTTTCTCAAAAATTTACCTTTAGGAGGTGCCATTATTAATGACATTTGATTTAAAACATGTATGCATCAGAAGCGGTGTATATTTGCCCACAAGCTTTGTTGGGTTTGCAATTACATTAATCCTGTGTCTGAATCATAAATTTGGATAGAGATTTTGAAAGAGAAAGGGAAATGGAAAAAAAATTTAGCTTATAATTTCATGTTTGTCTCACCTTTTCCTGTTCTCTTTCCAAATCCCTATCTAAATCTATGACACAACCTAAAGAGATTTATAGCATGCACTTCTTGTAGTTTCCACTGCATGAATTGAGGGATTTTCATCAAGAGTTCTCTTGAAGATAAAACTTATATTGAGTTGACAGAATTAGATTTGTTAGGCTCCATTTCTGTCATTGACAAAGAATATCAAGAAAAGTGTGGAAACGTTGACAAATTGGATGGGAAGTTTTTATTTATTTATTATGATTGTGATGTAAAGGGTGCTATACGATGATTGAACTGAATGCATATTGTAGATGAATTTGCGTTTTTCTAGGTAAGCTATACATTTGGATTCTATAATTTTCACTCTGCTTCGTTCATTTTACCAGGGAGTTTCTGCAGTAGGAGCATTTTATGAACTTCTGAGTCAGCCAAGTTTAAGCATAATGCATCCAGGAGAAAACAAGGCTGTCGCTCTTGTTGAGCTCTGTCCCATCCTCAAGACGCTCTATAAAATACTCATAAACAGGTCAAATTCGTTACTTTTCTACATGAAATTCATGAGTCTTTTCCTCTCTTTTTTTTTTTCCCCTACATTTTCAAAAACTGTTTTTGCATACAAAAATGAAAACGATGGATGTTTTTGGATGTTTCATTATTTTTGTGTCTGAAAACACGAAAACGAAAATGAAGAAAACAAAAACACAACTAAACATACTTTTAAATTTTTAATATGCTTATTTATGTTGTCAACCCAAGTTTCATTAATAATAGATTTTCATTAGGGCTCTACTATACAGAGACGAAACAATGGTACAACTTCTCCTTACAACGACTTTGTTTGGTAATTGTGTCGTGCCAGAGTGTTTTGGTACAAACTTTGATTAGAACTTATGGGGCATAAATAGTTTATATGAGCTTGAAAAGATTGATTATTGCCAAGGAGAGGAATGAGCACTTAGTTTTTGCTTTTTGATTACTATGTTATTTAGGTCAATTTTGAATTGGAATATGAACACTCAAAAGCTCTATCAGAAACCCTGCAGTCTTCAATCTCCCCTTCTATGTTCTGTTTGATTTTCAGGGAGCAAAAACCACAAGCAATTCTACAAGCATTGAGGGATGAAACATTGAATGATCCGCGAGACCGCATAGAGATTGCACAAACCCATGCTTTCTACAGGCCTTCCCTTCTTGGGCACCCTTGAGACTTTTACCATTGCAAAAGAAAACAAACTGAAAGGGTAATAAAGGAATCAATATATATATATATATATATGCAGCATGTAAATTCACTTGTTGGAAGACTTGTATGGTATTTCGACCAACAGAAAACATATACATACTGGCTTTGTAATTGACAACTTTTTGTTGTCTCAATTTACTTAATTTTAGTTAATTGATTTTTTAAATTTACTCATGTGAATTTGGTTGGGAAGTTTTGATCTGAGTTTAAGAAATAAGTTTAAAATTTCTTGTATTTAAAAAGAACATAACTTCGCTAAACATCTGGTGTGAAAATAATTTTGAAAGAGACTGTATTTAAGAATTTTTTTTAACTTGTATTTGATAAATAACTTTTTGGTTGGGATTGGTGGTGACAATTGACACTTTAGACCAATGCATGGTTACATTTAGTTGTAGCACAATCTGAACCAGTGGAGCGAGTGGGTTTTATTGTGAGTTTTACTTTTGAACAATTTATTTTATAACTTTTTGTGTATAAATTATTCAAAAAAAAAATAATAATTTAATAAAATTATATAATTATAATTATAATTATAGGATGAATCAAATTGTTTAATGAATAGCACATGAATTTACAAAATGACTGATTCTTATTATTAATATGATGGGACCCAAAAACTGGACTTCTCTTCAAGAAGCAAAATTTTATTATAATTATTGCATATTTCTAGGTGAAAAAACCATCCACATGCACTGGTTGGTGAAATGGTAAAGAGAAGTTTGAAGTGAAATGGTAAAGAGAAGTTTAAGTAAGATACTTTGCATATTATTAAATTTAGCATAGCAAAAACAAGATATCAATTTTTCATTTTTTTATTAGGGAAAATTACAAGCATATCCCTTAAAGTTTATTTAAATTATAAATTATCTCTTGTGGTTCTAGAAATTACATTGTGTTCCCTAAGGTTTCTAATTTCATAACAAATGGGTCATTTTATTAATAAATCATCAAGTTAAATTTTTTTTTTTTTGATAAGCAAAAGGAAACAACTTTATTGATATCAAAAAACGGATTACATCAATAAAGCATAGGCAAAGAGCATCAAGCATCATAGTGTTACCCTTTATCCCGACTAGGTTGGCACCAAGAGCAACATCCAATCATTTGAGAGCTCACGCCAAAGGGTTGGCAAGATACCAACACCACAGAAGAAAACAAAACAAACAAAATAAAGAGGACACAAAGACCAAACATCAATACACCTACAACTCCCCCGGCCCATCTAGTACAACACTCCCCCTTCCAAGACCAGTCTGATACAACAATGCACAACTCAGCAGCATTAGGACTTGGATGCATATCTGATCTGCTGCAGGTTACAAGTGAAATCCTGAATTGAATATGGACACCCCTATGATTGAGCTTTAACCCATATTGCAATTCACACCTCGAGCAATTCACAAGAGCTCTGCCAAAAGCATCTGCTTCCACTAAAAGAATGCACCGCACAGTACCAAAAGAATCTTCTTAGCAGCACCAACAGACCAGCAGACCTTGACAGTCCTCCAAACTGTAATGCTCATCCCGCGCAATTTATACCAGTATCATCTGTTCTAAAGCAAAACAAAACAATCCAACAGCTGCAAAGCAATACACCCAAACCAGAATTATCCCAGCAGCACACTTAGATAGATAGACAGCTGCAAAACTCCCAAACCAGATCAAAACACCGACGGATAGCTTCACATGACAAACTAACCCTCATCCCCAACACACTAAAACACTGTTAGCAACCAATAGCTCTGATCTGTTGCACACTAATAATAATATCCTGAACTGAATACGGAGGCTCCTTAGATTGGGATTTAACCCATAGAGCAATTCTCACCTTAATCAATTCACAGAGTTCATTCAGCTGGAACATTTTCCCATTAAAGACCACATCATTTCTAGTTTTCCATAGTGACCACATGACTGCCATTGGGATTGCCTTCCAAATTTTGTTTTCAAACTTTCTCCATTTATATCCACTCCACCACTGAAGAAGCCCATTAACATTATCAGGAATCACCCAGTGCGCCCCCCACCAATTTATCAGGCATGCCCACACCTTCCAGACAACAGGACACCAAAGAAGAACATGGTTGACTGACTTCACAGCTTGACCACAGATCACACAGTTGACAGAAATGTTCTGGTTCAGCGCACCAATGCAATTTAGAAACCCTGCAGTCTTCAATCTCCCCTTCCAAGCCAACCAACTAAAGAATTGGACTTTTGGTGGAGCCACATTGTTCCACAACAGTTTAGGGACCGGCATAGAATTTTTGGGCATTAACAGGTTATAAAGGGAAGAGACACTAAACTTACCTGATGAACATGCCAACCACTTCAAATGATCCTCCCCATTAGAAGTCAGCAACTCCACTTGATTCAAAGTAGTAAATAATCTCAGCAGTTCTTCAGACTCCCAAGCAAATAAATGCCTTCTAAAATTGAGGTTTCAATTGCCTGAGTTCCTTCTCCTTTCAATCATCATGCTCAAAGATAAATCCTTCTCAGATGATAGGCTGTAGAGCCTAGGAAAATCACTCTTGATACAAGGATTTCCCAGCCAATGGTCATCCCAAAAATGAATTCTACACCCATTCCCCACAACTACCTGTGAATTTTCCAGAAAAAGGCTTAGCAAAAAAGGGTTAGACTGCCCAAGATTCAAAATCCCACCCCATAGAGCTGAGTAGCACCCACTAAAGCTTGTCCAAGGGAGCCAACGCCCACCCATAGACAGATACCTACTACACAAAACTCTTTTCCACAAAGAACTAACATCAAAACCAAAGCGCCACCACCATTTAGCTAACAAACAGTCATTCACATCTTTGACACTTCTAATGCCCAGCCTACCTTGATCCTTACGTTTGCTAACCTCATCCCATTTGACAAGATGAATCTTTCTCTTTAAATCAGACCCTCCCCAAAGAAAGGCTGCTTGAATTCTCTCAAATTCCTTTGCTACTGATTGCGGCAGCTTAAATAAAGATAAATAGTACACAAGAAGGTTGGAAAGACTAGATTTAATAAGGGTAAGCCGGCCTCCAAAAGACAGCAGCTTCCTCTTCCAAGATACTAATCGAGCCTTCATCTTATCAATGACAGGTCGCCAGGTTTTCTTTAGTCTGGGATTGGCACCTAAAGGCAACCTAAGATAAATAATAGGTAGTTTTTGTTTTTTACAATTCAGTCTATATGCACACTCCTCCGCCACTTGCTCAGGCGCTCCAACACTACACACAAGACTCTTATGGAAGTTTATCTTCAGGCCTGAAACTAATTGAAAGCATCTCAAAATCCTTTTAACCGTTACCACCTCTTCCCCATCTACTTCACAAAAAATTATCGTATCATCAACAAATTGAAGATGAGTTACAGTTGTTTTAACTTCACCATGACCAATCACAACCCCTGTTATAAGGCCTCTTGATCTTGCCATTTGCAACAACATATTTAAACGTTCAGCTACAAGATTAAATAGGAAAGGAGACATTGGATCCCCTGCCTAAAATCATCAAGTTAATTAACGGTATTTAATAATGTTAAAATTTTATTTCAATTAATGATTCAAATAATTTTATTATTGTATAGGTGAACATTTAGAAATTTCACTTTTTCCATTAATTCTGTTAAATAAAAAATTCTGACAGGGAGATAATTGTAATTTTTCAAACTACAGGAGGTAATTCATATTTTAAGGAAATCTCAAGGGGTGTACTTGTAATTTACCCTTTTTAATTATATATTTTTTTAATGGTAATTTGTCAAACAAACTAAGATCAGTTGGCCTTTGTTTGCCAAACATCCTAAGGTTGTTCAGACATCTAAGATAGAACATAACTAGTTTGAAACAATTCTTGTCTGTTTGACAAATATGACAGAACAAATTGAATAAACTGGGTTTGCTTAACCGTTGTCTGTTGAACAAACATGATTTGTTTAAGTCATTTGTTACATTCAACCTTGGTTGGCTGAACAGTGTTCAACCATTAAAAAAGTTTGTAAAACAATTATTTATGGTGGAAAAATATGCCCATCTTGACGTTGTTCTCCCATTCAATACCTTAGATTTGTCACTCCCATTGCCATTCTTCTTTACAGTATACGATGGGATGGAAAAGAGAGGAAGAAGGAAACAAAATGAGGGAGGGAAGAAGAGAAAAGACGGTGTTTTGAAGAAAGAAATGGTGAAGTTTGAGAAGGGGCATGTTATGGCTAAATTACGTTGACCTCCCCTAAGTAATGAGAAAATGCAGTGAGTCGTACAGATTTTACATAATTACATGGATCTTTCATATTTTATAGACGTATAACACTTAGCACTTTGTCATTAGTTTGTCATTCGTAAACAATATGAAGTTTACTAATCTAACCAATTTTTGAATCGAAATGCCAAAATTACCTCTTATTTTTTAATGCAATATATTAACCCATATTATAAACTAATTTTTACTGTACCAAAATTATCTAGCTTGTTAGGTTTTTATTTTTGGCAATCCCGTTTGACAAAACTCCTTTAAGTTGTATTTGTTTTCGCACTTTTTATTTCAGTGAGGTTATGAGTTTTTAGATGCGAATCCAACCCGAATTGTGCCTTGCAGAGAAGTTTTGTGATGTTAATTCTTTCAAGATTGCCACTTCGCTGATTATGACGGGGATCGAGCTGCCCGGTCAGCTCGTCGGGGTTGAGGGGGCAGCGCCCCTTGGCGGGTCCGGGGCAGCGCCATGGCGGGGTCGAGGGGCAGCGCCTCCGAAGCAAAATGCAAAAATGCATTCAAAGTTGCCTCCCCGCTCGAGCGTCCATTTCCCCGCTCGAGCGGAGAATGGTGAGTTCCAGAAGTATACGTGTCTGTAAAAATACTGTGATTCGTGTTTTCACGCTCGAGCATTGAAATCCCCGCTCGAGCGTACATCCTGGTTTGGAACACGTCATATAGTGTCCCCGCTCGAGCTTCCATTCCCACGCTCGAGCGAACCTTGCGATTTTAGATTCTATAAATTCGTATGTTGCTCCAAATCTAGGGTTACTTCTCCAGAACTTCTTCTTGGATTCTAGGGTTTATATTTGGGGATATTTTGCTAGTTTTCTTTGATGTTTTGATTGAGTATTCAACTCATGGTTTAAAGAGTATACATCAAAGGATTATTTGTTTGTTCTATACAAAAGAAAAAG